AACGTTGCCACATTTATTTTAAGTTTGCGCATTCAACCGACGTAACTGTATTATTTTTTTATTAAAAAATTCAAATTTTCGCATTCAACTGACGTAACTGTATTATCTATCTATCTGTCGGGTTGGTTGCAGAACCTATAACTCGAGAACTGCTAGGCCGATTTTTATGATTTTTGTTATATTGGATTTGTCTGGCTCGAATTACATAACAAGTATTGGAACATTGGAACATATAAAAAAAACACAAGAAAAAGAAAAACATATTTATGAAGAAAATTCACTAAATATGCATACGGCGCCATGTCTTATAACCGATACCAAGTTTGCCGCGTCAGATTGCGCGGTTTGTTCCATTTTGATTTTTGAACATTTATTGAACCACATAATTTATTGTTAGTAATCATTTTATCTTATTAAAAAACTGAATTTAATTAAGCTAATGCGTTAACTTAACATTTATTGATTCTGAGGCGTTACGAAGTTCGCCGGATCCGCTAGTTAATAATAGACTCGGTCATTTTAAAACAAACCAAAAAAGAACGCAGAAATGTTTATTGCAAATTGTAGGAAATCGAAAAAAAAACGTTACTTTTTTTTATTTCGCCCAAATATAATTATTCCGGAAGTTATTCAAGTTTTGTAGGTATATAGATATATATAGATATACTGCGCATGTGCAACGTCACTTATTTATTAGATAAGTGACGCCATAGGCAGATTTCATAGTGTTGTATCTCCGTCAACTTTTGACTAAGAAGAAAAAGAAAAAACTCGTGTAAACTTATTTTTCGTGGACTATCGTAATCAGCAATAAAAAAATTTGATGCAAGGAGCCTATTCCTGACAGAAATAATGAAAACCTGGAGAACTAGAATTACAATAACATCAGAATCAGAAACCCTGCAGATAGATGAACTATACATCCGACGAGGTATCTTCCAAGGTGATCCACTAAGTGCGTTATGGTTCTGCATATGCCTACATCCACTCTCGAACACACTAAATGACTCCCAATACGGCTTTAACCTAAAAAATAGAAAAGTAGCACAACATAAAATTAACCACCTCCTATATATGGAAGACATAAAAATCTACGCTTCAACATCAACACAACTTAAAGGACTCCTCAAGATCACAGAAAAATTTACAACGGACATACAAATGCAATTTGGTATGAGTGAATGTAATACTAAATACTACATATAGAAAGGGGAAAATGGAAAGAAAGCTTAGAGGGAGAAACATTGAACAATGAGATAATGGGCAATATGATTGCAACACAACATCAGAATAAACCACACAATATATCAAAACACAATTGACGAAGCAATACAAACAAAGATTACGAGCCGTATTAAGAACGCCACTGTATTTAAATAACCTCTTCAAAGCCATCAACACATTTGGAATACCAATACTTACATACTCCTTTGGTATAATTAAATTGAGCCAAACAGACCTAGAAGGTATCCATACTCTTACTAAATAGATCAGAGCTCACCAGACACAGAAAACTACATCCCAACTCCTGCAAAGAAAGAGTAACAATCAGCAGAAAAGAAGGAGGAAGAGGAATGATAGATATTCAAGCGCTACACACAAAATAAATCCAACAACTTCGGATATTCTTCCTTGGGAAACAAACACCACTCCACCAAGCAGTCTGCAAAGCCGACAAAAACTACACACTCTTAGAACTTCTGTGTTTTATAAGAAAGGCAGAAAAACCTCACTCACTGTTTTGGAAAAGGAAAAAGTCCTCTCTAGTGAATCTCAAATAGTCAAAATTGAATCACCAGAGCATAAAAAGTTATTGCGGGTTGGTGAAAAATTTATATTACAGTGGTATGCTGGTACCTAGTGTTAAAAGTAAAAACTTAAATTTACAGATTTCTGAAAAATAATCGGGTAATTGCTAGATAAAAATTATTTAGGGTGGGTGAAAACTAGAAGTTAACTTCTGGAATTACTATTCATTCCCGCCCTTAGCAGTTTTGTTTTATCGACACTACCACCCACTACTGAAGCAGCACAGCTTCACATTGAAAGGGGTTATTTGCAGGTTCAAATGAGGCGTGGAACAGCAACAAAAAAATTTGAAAGAAATAGCTTTGGGTTCTATATGTTGAAATTTTTGTTTCGAGATGCAAATCTTTCTATCAATGATAAAAGCTAGCTAAAAAGATCTTTCCATCCCGTCGTACGTACTTTGTTTTAAGACCGTTGGATAGGGGGTTCAATTTAAAAAATAAAAATAAGGTTCTTGTCATTTTTCCGAAAAACTTTCATTAAAAAAAAAAAATAAAGGAAAACTCTAAACTTGCACTTTTAGGGTTGTTTTGAGGTAGTTCCCTTCCTCGCAGGTATGGGGATTTTTAAATACGTATTATACACCTTTTATTCAGTAGCATAATGCACAAAATTAGCTTGTCCCAAATTAGTTTGATGTTGACTCCCAATTTTACTGGCCTATTGTCCCTACTGACAATTTTATCCATGTTCTACACTGACTTTTCCAAAGGCGTTCGGAAGGATTCCTCATAGCTTGTGGGTTCATAAGCTTGGAAGTCAGAAGCAAAAAATATGCCTTGCCACCAGGCTACATATTGAACTGGTGGTTGGTTCCACAGTTTTGTTCACAGGAATACAACTTTCCTGTAATTCCACATAACTTTTGTAGTTGCACACAAAAAAGTGTACCTACCTAAGTATAGGTAGGTGGTATATCATGACAGCGAAACTTATAAGCGTCTTCGGTAAATACATTAAAGAAAGTTTTTGTTTGTGAACCATTATCAGCAGACTGATTTTTGGGAGTTTCTAATAACCAGTTTTGATGCATTGGAATAAGTTTACAATGAGTCATTTCTTGTGGTGCCACATCCTATGAACAAGTTAATGAACCAAAAAATCTAAAAATCACCATTCGTTCCATGACGTAGTAGGATATCTGATGAGCAACTTTTCCTTACTGAAAAAAACCTTAGGTATTATTATTAACAATAAGGAACGTGGATTAACATTTCATAAGAATTATATTTTCCGACACAATAGGAGCTTCATTATATTCTACATTTGTTTAATTGTTTACGATAACTAAAAAAATTTCTAGCGTCATTTGAGGTAATATTTGAATAGTTTAAATATTTTTTTAAATGTAGCAAAATTAAATAAGATACAGAATGAGAATTACACAGAGAATAGACTAGAACCGTTTATCAGATAGATGATATTCAAGATTTTATGGAATGTACCTTATTATTCAAATATTTCCGAACACTTTTTCATTGTTCAAAATGGGATCGAGTCGACTCAAAATTTCAGTTCAATGTACTTGTTGACATATTAATCTAGGTTCAGGAACAGTATTTAATTCCGTTAGATATTTCTTCGGTTTTCTTTTAATGATATTTCCATATTACATGTTTGCTGGCAGAGTTTTGTCACAATTTGCGCAGGTGCTCTGAAACTTTAAATAACAATCTGAAAGATTTCCTTGCTCTCGAGTCACATTTCACTTTTTTAATTTTTATCAGAGCATACTATCAGTTTTTTGGCGAAAAGTTCAAAATTCCTGACAAATTTATTTTCTGCCTTTCCAGGATTTTCTCGAATCTGGTGTGTTCCTCAGAGAATACGTGAATACGTTCTCGCTTCCCTTGGATCTGAAATTTTCCTGAACTCAGTCCTGTTCTTCTTGCACAGTGGCGTCGACTTTTCCGCACCAATGTAGTTTCATAACACTTTCTCCTGTCGAATTTCTAGATTTTTAACATTTGTTCTGAGGAAAATAAATTCGGAAGAATAGATTAAATTGGATTTTTTTCGGATACTCTGGAATCTTGAATTTGCAAAATTTTCCGAAGATATTCGGTTTCTGAGAACTGACAAATATAGCCGGAATTCAAAATTCTCTGTGTAATTCGCTGCGTCGTGAAAATCACATAATCATATAACCTTTCTCAGAATACACGCACTTTGAGTTTGAATTTGTTTAAATGTGATCTTTTTGATTTTTTTTTAACTGAAAACAGACATTGAAATAATTAATAAATTTAGGGGTTTAGATAAATTATTGTAATAATTATCCTAAGTACCTGACCTAGGTATCCATTAATTTCCATGTAATACTCACGTACTATGTTTTAATTTATTTGTTATACCTACATGCTTTATTGTTATAGGTACGTATAGAAATATTTTTTTTCTGTTTTTTATTAATTTTCAAAAATTGTAAATTGCTTTTTATCAATTTTATGTTGTAGTGTGATAAAATACAATCGAAATAAATATAAATATCTAAAAAAATTGTGTCTTTCTTGTAGAATAACTTAATTCTTAGTAAAAAATTAGTCCTTATAGGTAAAGGTAAGGAGAAACTACCCAACTTACGCTTTACATGTACAAATGCTATAAATTATATAGATTATTACACAATGTAGATATTACTAAAATGCATTAAAAGTTTAATGTCTCCACGATTATGTGATAAATTGTGTGTTGTGAAAAAAATATTTTTTATTTATTTTTAAATTACCACTATTTCAAATAAATTTTAAATGGAACTTAACGCATTAAATTGTCGCCTTTTTAGATATAGCTAATATAAGGGTAAGTAGAACTTTGTTTATTTTGAATTGAAAATTTCCAAATAACAAATCGAAAATATTTATCGTTATCCGCTGTTTTTATCTTTCTTAAGCCAAGACTAAGCATGTATTTTTTTTTTAGTTAATCTTTTTAATTCTCCGTCTAAAAACAAAAACACTTCACAAAATGGCCAAAAGTGCCCGCAAAAATCACATTTCCTAGACTAATAATTATTACAGAAATTACTTCTATTCCAGGTACAGACGCAAGACATTTTATCAAAGCAATAAAAGGATATAATATGGCGAGATTCTAGCGTTGACAATAAAATTGAAAGGGATTATCTTATCTTAACAAAAAGCAAGGTGCCAAAACTTAATTTTTGAGGAACAATGAGTAAGATGACATAGTGGTGTAAACAACAATAATGGGGTCCTTACCACGGTTGCGTGACGGCAGTTTATTTTACGTTGTTCTTGGGGCCGTAGTGACGTCGTTCTATTTTATCGTTATCGGAAAATTGAGCACGACTCGTGTAGTTAATTTGGTAGATCACAATGGTGGCGCCGCTAATTTTTCCCGAAGGAATTCTGAATACGAAGAAGTTTGCAGGTAAGGTACCTACTAAGAACAAAATAAACTGTATAACATCAAGCAAAATTCGAATGTACTAATAAGACTGACATCTTTTGAGATTATTAGGAGGAGTAGGTATTGGTTTACCAAAATTTTATAAAGTTTGTGAGCTGTAAGTTATTTTAAATACATATTTTTTTTTTCAACGAGTTTAAAAAATCTGTTGTGCTTCGGGCCTTCCCATACTGGTGTAAGCTTGGGAGATCCACTTTTCTTCCTTCGCGGGTTATAGAGCCAAACTTTGTCATTCTGGAAACCTGTAGAGTTCGCCTTAAGATCATATCTCATTTTCATTCGGTCACTTGCGAATTTTATCCTTTTTTTAACTATGTCATGGAAATCAAGCAGCCTTTTTCACAGATCGTTAGCATAGTCTTCGGCTTCTATGTCGGCGGCTTGAGCGAACACCATATTACATGAGTATATCATCAGAAATAGATGTACGTATATGCTCGTCCCAATCATTCTAATGCTCGTCAACTACTTTAGAGAGATGTTCCTTGGTTGTCTTGTTGAATCTCTCAACCATGCTATTTGATTATGGATGCACTGCCATGGTTCTGGTCTTGTGAATGCCTATATAGCAGTTCGCAAAGTTTTTAAATAATCGTGACTCGAAATTGCGTCATGGTCGATTGAAGTTCCAATGGGATTCAAACCTAGTATAAACATTATTGACGAGGACTTTTGCAACTGTAGATGCTTCTTGAATTGGAATAGCGAAAACTTCAGGCCACTTGGTACAATAATCCATGGCAACCAGGATGATCTATTTGTTTCCACTCCGCGTAGCAGGGAATGCGTTGTACTGCTCCATTTATCCCTCAGATCGTGTTTTTGGTCCTTGACTTGCTGCGCATCTCGCACATTGTCGGCACAATGTTTTGACATCCTGTTATTAGTTCACCCAATAGAATTTGTCACGGATTTTGTCCAAGGTCTACATTTTTGTTTGGGCTTTGCTAATAATAACATCATGTGCAACAACGTTTCTAGTCATTTACCACCTATTTTAGCTTCTCCAGTTTCTAAGACAAAATCCCCAACATAGAAATTCTTGTTTTTGATGGCAAAAATCCCAACGAATTCAAGCCTTTTATTGAAATATTCAATGTAGTCATAGATAAAAATGTTGCCCTTTCGGATGTTGAAAAACTCTTTTATTTAGGAAGATTTGAGAGACGAGGCTTTAACATTGGTAAATACTCTACCCATTGTAAACTTTTCTTATGCAGAAGCGTGCATCAAGTATCTTGCAAAACCGTTACAACAACGAGGCTATGTTGATAAATTCTCATATTAATTCACTGTTTGAAATACAAAGAAAATCATTCAAAACCCAGAGAGTTAAGAAAGTTCATCAGCAAAGTCAAACAACAATAAGCTCTTTATAAAGAATTTAAATCAGTCGATAAATCAGTGGTATGATATTGATATGCATATTTTCCAAGAAATTGGATACTTATATCAATAGGGCTTTTCAAATGGATCGCGATATCTCAAAATTATCCACTTTGAATGAATTTCTAAATTTCTTGGAAAATAGAGCAACTGCCCTCGAAACTGCAGGTCGTTCTGATCGAGGTTCTGATAAACCACAATTCAGAATTGTTCATTACCTAGCTGACAAGAAATTAATTTTGCTTAAGAGCACCATAAATCTGTTCTTTTACCAACAATAAAAATAAAAATTAAAACAAATACTTAGGTCATTAGTAAAAAATAGGTAGCTTGATAAAAAAGTTGAAATTGAAAACTTTTGACAATATTTCAAACATCATTGGAATATCAGAAAACACAACAAAAATTTCCAAATCAGTAAAAATATACTAATTGAATCTTTAGTTCACAATTTCTCTATGTACCTATGTTAAGTTCGCAGTCGTAGAGAGAATTACATTTAGGTGTTTTAGATTTAAGTCTTAGCTTTGTCCGTAAAGATTACTGTATCTTTTGACAATAAAGCGTGCTTTTACTACTACTACTATTACAAGTAATTTGCCTAACATAAATTTGGATATGTCATCGTTTATCGTGCCAAAAAATGCTCAGTTGTCGGATTATATAGTTTTGGTCAATCAGGACAGATTGATTTCCTCTTGGGAGCGAATATTGAACATTGCCTTCGAAATCTTTCTCCCTGAAGAGTTTGTAAACAATAAGATCTATTTTCAGAATACTCTTTTTGGTATGTTGTAAGTGGATCCATTCCTTCCCACATTTCATGTATTTTTTTTGCACTTCATGCTACATATTCAGACCTTGAGAAATCCATATCCCAGTTTTGGGAAACAGAAAAGGTTCCTGGCTCCACGGAGCACGAAGCTTGCGAGTCTTTATTTCAGAGTTCTCTTGAAGTTAAATGCCACTTTCAAGTGAAATTACCCTTAAAACCAATAGAGATAGATTTGGGTGATTCATTTTCAGTTGCTATAAAACGACTTGAGAATCTTGAAAGGAGATTCCGGCCAAATCCTGATCTCTTCCTGAGCTATAAAAATTTCATTCAAGAATACTTGGATTTGCATCATGCCAAAATAGTGCTTTATAAATCTGATGAAATTAAAAATGGTTTAGTATACAGTATACTTAGTGGCTTACCACCCAGTGATCAGGGAAGACAAGAAAACAACTGAATTGAGAGTTGTCTTCGATGACAGCATAAAATCAAAAAGCAAAAAATGCATAAATGATTTTCTACATAATGGGGCAGTTGTCCAAAATGAACTCTTTGATGTTCTTTTACTTTTTCGCACCTACAAATTCGTCTTTCTACAGAAAATGTACCGCATGATATTGATTCATCCAGATCATACACTGGTCAGCAAAATTAACGCACCACTTACTTATTTCTATTTTAATGAGGTTTGAATCGGAACTATGGATTGGCTAGCAAACAGTTCTGATTTTTACCCAATTGAGGATGGCTGGGACATGATCTGTCGCCATTTTTAAGAGCTTCCTAACCCCCTAACACTTTGAATGGGCTTACTGGAGATATTGTCAAAATATGGAATAATTTGGATAAAAGCGAGATAAGGCCCGTAATTTTAACATGAAAAATCGCTGCCGTGCTATTATTCAAAAGAGAGGAGGAAATACCGGTTAATAATTATTTTTAACTAAAGTTAAAAATAAATTATCTTTTTTGAATTTTCTTGTTTTTTTTTTTCTTACCTTCTTTTGGAATTTTATCTTTTGTTAATACCCTTATTAGGTCAGGATAAGAATATATTTAATCAAGACATAAAAATATTTGATCAAAATTATGAAATAAAATAGTTATTTATGCAACAAGTGTGTAAAGTGAACCTTTTTTCACGAATGTGAATTTTGACGCACGAGCCGAAGGCGAGTGCGGCAATCACATGAGTGAAAAAAGGTGCTTTACGCACGTATTGCATACAAAATTTTTTCTACTATCAAACAAATATGTGTAGAAAAATTGATTTAGACAAATACTTTACGCACTAGTGCGTGAAGTATTTTCACTTTACGCACTAGTGCATGAAGTAATTTACCAGAAAAATACTAAATTGGCAGTTTGACATCTGTCATTGACATTACTTTACGCACTAGTGTGTGAAGTTAATTACTTTACGCACTAGTGCGTGAAGTGAAATTTCACGTCTTCTGAATAGTGCGTAAAGTGAGTACTTTACGCACGGTAGTAGAAAAAATATTATTCAAAAATAGTAGTGGTGCGTTAATTTTGCTGGCCAGTAGAAGACTTCAAAACATTTTATGGAAATATGCTGCTTGCTCCCTGCAATTTATTTAGTTGCAGACTGTAACATATGGCTTAGAAAGCTCTCCTTTTTTGGCTGGGTGCCTTCTTGAGCTTTCTCAAACCGAAGGGAAAAACTCGCCTCTTGCAGCCAATGCTTTAATGAACAACACATATGTTGATGACATCCTTTCAGGTGCTGATACAGTTGACGAAGCCATCAAGCTAAGAGAGGAATTGATTTCGCTTTTAGACTTAAGATCGTTCTCGTTGCACAGATGGTGCACTAATGAACTCCTTCACATTGCGTGCCGCGTCGCTCATATATGCGAGACATCAACATTTCACCGAGGGCTTCGTCGCTAATTTCTGAGAGACACACATCTCTCACTTTCTGGCCATGTATATCAAATATGATACCCGCTACCGTGTATTTTAAATGGAGAATCCGAAGCTTGGCCTCTGGGGAAAATAATATGAGTCTTGGTTTGAGCAAAATTGGAAAAATAAATTCACTACAACAAAATTTTTGAAAAATGTTGATTTTGCGTATTAAAAACATAAAATTTTATTCTGAAATAGCTGATTTTACGTAATAATAAAACAAAATTTATTCTGCAATAGCTTATTCTAAAAACAAAATGAGGATATCTCTCTTGCCGGCAAAAGCAAAAAAAAAGAAACGTTGATCATATTTGAGAGTAAATACATACAAATATTGCAAAAAGTGGTTTGGCCCCTGGGGGAATTTTCCCGATAACAGCGTGGCACGCAATGTGTTAACTGATATTCCTAGGGAGAAACAAAATTTTGGTGAAGTTGACATTAACAAAATAGCTTATTTAGTCAATAAAGGCTGTTTATGTAAGTACATGATTTTATGTATGATTGCTACTGGTTTTTATTAAAAACTAAAAAAATTGAATGAAAAAATTAAAATTCGTGTATACCTGTTTCACCTTGGCAGGTTGTCAGGTAGTCCAGGTAGGCAATAAAGTACCACTTTAGTAAAATAGGGTAGCACCACAGGTAGCACTTTATTTTACAGTAGAATAAAGTGCTACTTTATTGACGCAAAACTGTTCTATAAATAGCACTTTATTGGTCAATCGGACATAAATAATTTTATCACCAAAACCTTGGGTATGTCTAACAATGCTGTCACATAGAGACAAGTTCTATGATCCTTTGGGATTAGCAAGCCCTTTTTTGGTGGCAGCAAAGGTCATAATGCAAAAAATCTGGATTT